AAAAAAAAAAAAAAAAAAAAAAGAAAGAAAGAAAAGAAAGAAATGTTCATTATATTAAATATTTAAGCTTGTGAAAAATTAATTTTTTGAATTACATTTATGCTACACCCAACTATATGTAAATTATACCATACCAAAAAAATTTTTCTTTTCATTTTTTGAGATGGAGTTTCACTCTTGTGGCCCAGACTGAAGTGCAGTGGCGCAATCTCGGCTCACTGCAACCTCAGCCTCCTGGGCTGAAGTGATTCTACTGCCTCAGCCTCCTGAGTAGCTGGGATTATAGGCACTCACCACCAGGCCCAGCTAATTTTTGTATTTTTAGTAGAGACAGCGTTTTACCATGTTGACCAGCCTGGTCTCAAACTCCTGACCTCAGGTGATCCACCCACCTCAGCCTCCCAGAGTGCTGGGATTACAGGCATGAGCCGCCACACCTGGTCTATACCATACTAAAACTTAGCAGGGCATTTTAACCTGTATAGACAGTAGGCTGAAATTTGAATACAAATGTAGTGTTAGGGAAATAAGTGAGAGGAAGATCAGGATTAATGACTCAGTCTTTGCTGGAAAGAATATTGAATGTTTTCCATATATGGTGGCAGAGAAGAAATCTCTGGGCTAACAATCTAGAAGATGCAGCTCTGATGTGGAATCATACATAAATATGAATGCCAAATCCCTCTGTGGCTCCAAAAGAAGTCTGAACTACATGCACTTGGTTTATTTACCGAACTGTTTAATAACAGATAAAGTATTATATAAAGGAAAGTCTTTGCACAACACCTCCATGTTTCTAATACTCAAAGATCTTTGGGGAGATCATGGCTGCCTGCCTCCAGAGGCTTCAGAAATTCATTACTGACTAAATTACCATTTTAGCACTTTAGATTAACTGTATGATGCAAAGTATGTTGGAAAAAAAAGCCACAGTCTTTTTCATATTGTTTAAAACTAAATAATAGAATCATAACTTTAAGTTCTACTCACAGGTAAAGAAATTATTTTGCCTTTAAAAACTGACATACAATTATCTTTTTAAATGTTATATATTACAGTCTTACCAAACACTCTAGTCCTTGAATGACAATAACATGTACGTGTTTAAACACCAGATCAAAGGAATCAAATTATTTCTAAAAATTCACCTGTTGATGGCGAAATACAATAATCATCCTCTACAGACTGGCCATAGAGATCATCATCTTCAAAATCTAAAATAAAGACAAAAAAGATAAATTCATGTATAAGTTCTTTTTATATTCTTAGTTATTAGTGAGGAAGCATCTGAATCCTCTCCAAAATAAACCGTTTATCAAAATTTAAGGAATCTGGAATGTCTATTTTCAAAAAAATTCTAAGAATTTCACCCACAAAATAAGTATTTACTACCTCTATATTTATAAAGACATACACATATCTTCAGTTGTTAATTGGGTTTCTGTTTTCCCCAAGTCCCAAGTTTTCACCTCATGTGATCAAAATATAATATAATCCTATAAAAAACATATTTGAGGCCTGACACAGTGGCTCACAACTGTAATACTAGTACTTTGGGAGGCCAACGCAGGCAGATTACAAGGTCAAGAGTTCGAGACCAGTCTGACCAAGATGGTGAAACCCCGTCTCTACTGAAAATACAAAAATTAGCAGGATGTGGTGCCATGTGCCTGTAATCCCAGTTACTTAGGAGGCTGCGGCAGGCTCCTGCTTGAACGCAGGAGGCAGAGGTTACAATGAGCCAAGGTCACGCAACTGCACTCCAGCCTGGGCAACAGAGACTACGTCTCAGAAAAGAAAAAAAAAAATACTTGAATGGTTCTCCTTTTTTTTCACCCAACGCCCTCTATAACCAAAGCATTTTTCTTCCACAGAACTAACATGGGGTATACAATAGATCATGAAAGGAATATTTCTTCATGGAGAGCTAGGTAACATCTGTACAAACCAACTTACCCTAAACACCCTGCACTCACCCGTTGATGGCTAACTGCCTTTTTTTTCCTGCTTCCTGGGATATGCTCTTTGCCTAGATTTTCCTAAGGCATTTCTTGCTGCTAACATTCCAGCTCAAATGTCTCCTCTTTGCACAAGTCTTCCCTGACCACTCTGGGTAAAGTAGTAAACCCCTCTGCCACTGTCACCCTCCAGCATACTTCTCCAATTTACAGTATATCTTCAAAGCACTACACTTGTTCACTCCATGAGACTGTCAGCTTCCTCAGGGCAAGACGGTTTAGACAACTACCTGGCACGATGTGGCACTAAATTAATATTTGTTTTATTATAAATTAATAAATCAAACTAATTACAACTAAAAACACACAAAGAATGTAAGTATATTTACATAAATTTCATTTGACAAACATTAATGCCATGCCAGGGAGGAGTTGAGACAACCATGGTATAACAGTGAACACATTTCCAGTTATCCACATACCCAGCCACACCTAAAATCTGACAAGCAATACACACAAGAAAACGGGCAATTACAAAGCCATGTGACAAGTGCCTGATGTGAGAAACACAGAGCAATTTGGGAACACACACATGAACAACAAAACTAGAACTGGAAGTGGGGTGGCTAGGGAAAAGATCCCCAGGAATATAATACCCAAAACAATTCCAAAGGTTAGAGTTAGCTAGTTTCTGAGGGTACTCATACAGCAGGAACAGCATGCTCAAAGGCTGAGACCAAATGCTTATGGCAAAGAAAAAGTAAGTAAATGCTACTACTGGGCAAAAAACATGTAAGATTAAATAAATTATTAGATCATAATCTGAAGTTAAAAAAATTTATTTGCAAATAACAAGGGGCCATTCATAAACAAAATATTTTTAGATACTGAAGACGGCAATAGGCCAGGCATGGTGGCTCACACCTATAATTCCAACACTTTGGGAAGCCAAGGAGGGAGGATCTCGCTTGACCTCAGGAACTTGAGACCTGCCTGCGCAACATAGTGAGATGCTGTCTCTACTAAAACAAAAAATTAACGGGGCACGGTGGCACATGCCTTTAAGCCTAGCTACTCTGGAGGCTGAAGCAGGAGGATTGCTTGAGCCCAGGAGTTAGAGGTCACAGAGAGCTATGATCAAGCCACTGCACTCCAGCTTGGGCAACACAGTCAGATCCTCACTCTTAAAAGAAAAAAAAAAAAAAGACTCTTTTTTACTAGGTTAGTTTGTCAATGGTGAAGTTGACCCTAAAATGCCACAACATAAAAAGATGAAGAGAATTCTTTCCTGCAATCTTTGTAGTTTGCTTCCTCAATCAACAAAATTATGGAGTATTTACTGCATGTAAACAACATTGTGTCAGCTACTTAAAAGTATGAAATTTGCCTTCCTGGGACTTTTAAATCAGCAACTGAGGCAGTCATGCAAAGTATTATATAAATTACAGAGAAAAACAAAGTGGAAATTAAGTAGAGGAACCCGTAGGTTTTAGAATACAAACTCTCTCTAATGAGGTTATATTACTTTAGACAATTTTAAAATTATTATTCTGAGAATTCAAGAGAAGGCCTAACTGGGAAGAAGAGAAATAAACTGGACCTTGATGATAAGTAAAACTTTTATAAGCAAGAAATAAAGATGAACCCCCTTAATGTTACAGGAACAGCTTGGTTATGATGTCACCAATTGTTCCAAAGAAACATGACAACCTGACCTCAAGTAGTCAAGGTGCTCCCTCAGGCCAAGCACCTCTCCTCCATAAAGCATTCCTCACGTAGAAATCCTGCTTATCCCCCCAGTCCATTCTGAATTTAGTGTTCTCATCTGTGTATCCTTCCCGCAGCGTTTGGTGAGTACTTTTTGTGGCGTTTTTCATACTCTAGTAATGTGTAACTGGTATAATTTCCTCTTAGACTACCCTCAAATATCTTACTGTCAGTCCTCAAATCTTAGAACAGTATTCTAAGCCTAAATTAATGGTGGTTGAGGAAATGATAAACAACTATTAAAGAAATGTATTGTGATATTGTGCTCGCCTAGAGCCAGAACCGGAGCAAAACTATTTTATAAAATGCAAAACTGTTTTTAGATAAGTTGAAATGGCTGCCCCATTCTCCTTACAATAACTACTGTCCTTGGCCTCTGTGAATAGAACTGCCAGTTTGTTCCTCAAAACTATGTAAAGCTGCTTACCTTTTCTTATCAGTAACTGCTAAAATCTGTGAC